AATAAATAGTGAGCAAAAAAAGGAAACTTTGAAATTTGTATTATAAGATTCAGAAAATATTAGTCATACAAAAATTTTTAATATTTGCAAATTTCATTTAAAAATGTTGGACTTAATTCGGTAATTCAAAATGAAATTAATCTGAATTATCCAATAACTTTTCAACCAATAAAAGTGTTAATGAAATTATGTGATCTCTGGAAGCAATCAGTTCGCGATTTTTTGGAGTTGCCACTCATGTGATAAACACAAGCAAAAAAAGGATGACTAAGATGGAACCAGTCCCTAGCGTATTTTTATTCGAATTTCAAAGAAAATCATCTAGCACTTTAAAGAATTATCAGTTTAGAAAAATAGAGTGGTAAAAAGGAAATTTATTTTACCATTATCCGAAAAGATCCCTTCACTTCTTTTATAAAATGACATTCACGTTATCATAAAATTGAATAAATTACGTTTCTATCATTTCGCTCCATCCTGGCACGCTTCTCCTGCATTTGTTGAAGTTTGATCTTACATCGATTCATGTGTTCGCATGAATGTTTCACAACCATAAATAATGCTTCCCACAGCCAGAAGCTGCAAAAATAGAGTGATTAGAACAAATTATATATTAAAAATCAACAAAATCTACACAAACTTATTAATTTTGAGGAAAACAGAAAACTAACGTTAAACAATGAGAAAACCAACCGATGTAATTCTTGACCAGCGCAACTACTCAACAACCAGGACACCACGGCATTCGCATTTAGTAATGTCATTCGAAGCATTTTGGTAATCAGCACAACCATCATCTGCAATAGTTTTATAGTAATATATATTTAGACAAAAAAACTAGGTATTTGGAGCAAATGAACTAGCAAAGCAAGGACTTGATCAAAAATAATGAAATTATGTAAAACAAAAATCATAGAATTATTTTGCAGGATAGAAGGACTTTCAATGTCCTCACTTTCATTTATATTAATAGCTATATAAAAACAAGCCACCAGTGACACCCACCTGTCGATTATGCTTCCAGACATCGTAAAGTGTTTGCAAAAGTGCCGTAGAGGATTCATCATCGACACCACTCAATTCTTTCAAAGTTTCGTGGTATCTAAATTCAAAATATGCAACTGATCTAGATTTTAATCCGTTCTAGAAGTTAGAAATTACTCATTTTAATATAAATTAACAAGATAGGAAAAGAACAGGAACTGTTTCTGAAGCTTGAAGATGTCATGAGAATGAAAGAGAATGAAATGAAAAGAACAAAACCTTGCTAGAGCTGCAAAGTTGTGACTAAACGACTTCTGTGCTGCATTAAGCATAACTGCAAAGAATGTAGAGAGTGTTGCTGAACTATTGCTTTTCTGGTCAAATCCGCGTAACATTTCAGTTACCTCCTTTGGCTGAGCTTTGTTACGAAATGCTTTTTCAATTTCAGCAACCATTTCTTTTTCTTCTGTGGAAGATAAATCATAACAGAACTGCTGTAAGTTCTGTTTGACATATTTTCTTGATTAATCAAATTGCAAAAAACGACAACTGGCAATAGCCAGACTGTCGAAAGAATAAAACTATATGACTAAGAAAGTCAGTGATCACGAAAAGTCCTCTTCAGACAGAAGAGGATCCTTCAGATCTTCAGACCTAAAATGAAAAAAAAAGATCTGAAGCATCTTTCAGATACGAAATAGATCTGAAGGATCTTCTTTTGTTTTAGTCCCGTAAAGGGTGAAAAAGTAGAATGGGGTGCTATCCATTTCTGAGCACTTTTGAAGAGTCTAGTTACACATACTTCACAAAGACAATGAATCCAGCTTTAGGAAAATGTATATTAGAAAAGAACACGAGAAATAAGCATATAACTAAATAAACAACATACCTCGGTTCAATAAAAACGATATAAAGGGTTTTTCTGGTGTTATTTCTTCGAATGAACTTGGCAAGCAATCACAAATTCTTTCGTAATAAGAAAACCTCATGCATTTTTCGATGACCTTAACTTCGAAAACTAGGAAATAACTGTCTCCTGATTGCTTTTTAAACGACTTTAACAATTTAAATTGACACTGAGAAGAAATCTCTAACTTCTTTCACAAAATACCGCCTTGGTGCATAATCATTCAAATTGAGACAATCGTCCCAGTCGACCCATGACCAGCGATATTCAAAATTAGACATATGGTAACTGAACCAGTCAATTAATCTGAAATTTGAAAATAATTCACGTGAGAAGTTTAATAATGAAATTAGAGTTCGCAAAATAAACCATACTCTATGCAGTAAAAGTTATTTTTGTTTTATATGGATGTATGAAATCTCGTTCTAAAGGTGAACTACCAGGGAGTGTTGTTACAATAACCAGACAAAAAGACTGAAAAGAAGTTTCATAGTGATAAACTAACCTATCGATGCACTCAAGTTGCATTGTATCTATTCGTTGGTAAAACAATTCTGCTGCTTGAGCGATTACCTTAAAATATATAAATTTCAGCAAAAATACCAGACTAGGCTGATGAATATGGCGATAAGCCACAGCTCTTCTTTATTGGATTTTAACATGAAAAAAACATTGGGAAAAAGATGAAAAGATCACCTGAGGCATATCCCTTGTTTTACATAATTCAATCATCACACTTCCATAAAATAGGGGCCGCAGTGGCGGATGCGGTAGACGGAACAACTGCGAAAAGATTACTTCCAAGATCATGTAGTTTATTGGTACCATTGTTTTCTTCCGATAACTGATAAGTTGTGCTGCGCTAAAATTTCAAAAACTCGTCAATTTTCCAAACTTTGGAAAATTCCAGTTAATATGGAATAAAAATAGTACTGTAATTAGAGACAAAAACATCACCATTCTTTCCTACTATAACAATTATTCCCAATTATCAAACACAATTCTTCTTCAACCAAAAAGCGCTCGATTGAATGAGCTCCAGGAAGCACTGCTCCCTACAAATGATTATTTTAAAAAATAAGATAATTAAATACAAAAAAATGAAGTTAAGGGGACATAAAAGAAATGTAGAAGAGCAATTACTCCATCTGGGCAATCGGCATAATCGAAAAAACGAAATACAACAGTAGGCAGCGGATATACCATCACTGACGTGTGCGGTGGTGGAACAAATCTACAGAATAATATCATAAATTAAGCATGCCGATACAAGGAATTTCTTTCAAGAAAATTACATCCAGAAAATAACAGTGAAGAGACTTTCAACATCGCCATAATCACAACTGTATCTCTATGGAAATCCTTTACAAATATATTCAAATATACTCCCTGCATATCTAGCAATATTTTAAAAACTTCTACTTTGTTTTGAAATCTTTCTCAACTGAAAAGAAGGTTTTTCTTTTTCTCTGAAAACACACGATTCAAGGGTCTTGCTATAAAAACAAACACAAAAAAATTAATAGTGATTCTTACAACGGTAAATTATGCGTAACTGCACCAGCCAAGGAACCATCAAATGCTACATAATAACGTAAAATGTGTCGCTCTGCCCAACCATCATCCCGCAGTTTGGAAATTTGAATCCAGAGACTATCCAAATATTCTTCTTGTTCATGTTCCGTTGCTGACCAAACTTGAAGCAGCTGAAAACAAAATAATTTCTGAGAATAAAAACTTGATGGTATATCAAAAATGAATAAAAACAGTGGAAGTGGTCATGGAAATGCTGTGAAATCGAATAATATAATAGAGAAATCATAATGCTTAATTATAATTGTACAAGATAATACACTATATTATGGTCACAAAGCCAATGAATTTGCCAATGTTTCATTCAACAACTGCCGCTCTTACAGTAAAATCTCAGCCTTATCCCACTTTCTTTTTCAACCTCAAAAGGTTACGGCAAGTCTGAAAAAAATATGTATATGACATCACGTTTAACAATATCATATGCGCCAGACAATTATTGAATTCGCTAACCATGATAAGTTACCACAGTTTTACCTTAGCATGAGATGTGTTCCTTTCAAGCATATATTTATCAATGCCTTCTAGGAGATTATCAAGTGGTTCCTTTTCTCTATCATTTAGTTCAGGCCCTGCCCAGGGAAGACTGTGTAGTACCGCATAAACAAACCAGTCACTTCGAACCTGGAAAGACTAACAGTCTTTTGGAACATGAAAAATCATAGTTATTCCATGTTTAAACAAAAACTAATTCGAATAACTATTAAATGAATATCTTTATCCAAATTAGCAAATAGTACTGCGTTTTTTACTCTGCCTTCAAAATTTAATCTACGAATCCAGTACACAACCTATAACATCTTCAGAAACCATACTTGTGGGATACTTTCTTCATAAGCTGCTTCCATAAAGCTTTCATAAAACTCCACCAAAGAACTGGACGAAACCACATGACAATTGACCAGGTCAGCTAGAAATGTGACCTGGAAAAACAAACAATCAGTGACCGAAAATGATTCATGCAAAAAATTTTTCTTTTTGAAAAAAAAATTCGAAAACTATAAAACTCACAATATGTAAGGCATGAATGAAATCAGAGGATACAAGCTTCTCTCGCAACACCTCCAACAATTGATTCAGAAGCTAAAAATTCTCCCAAAATCAATCCTATTATGGTGATTAAGCAAATTGTATTCTGCCTAAATATTATATTATTTCACTCTTCTCAATATAAGAAGTTTGCAATACCTCAAAGCCAAATTTTTCCTTTTTTGAGTTCAGTAAGCCTGCAAGAGTTGAATATGCAGTAATTTCCTCGCGCAAATAACATACGCTGCAATAAAAAATATTTCTGTTAGTAATTTAACAATACTTACAAATTTCTGAACTTTATTCACATAAAAAATATTGAAAGGCTGAAGCATTACCAATCTATAATGATATCGATGATGTGATCAACATCAGTGATGAGGTAGGTTCCTAATGACTGCGCCAAACCCTCTAGATTGGATTCCATGGATGAATTACTCTAAATTAGAGCTAAATAAGATTGCCTATTTCGAAGCCAACAAAACCAAAAAACAACAGAACCTGTGTCACTGCCTTTTCCAATTTTATTTTTAAAAGTAATACTGTATTTAGAAATTACAGAAGGTAGCGAAGCTATGTTTTGAATTATTTATGCCATGCATGAGATCACTACCGCGGACTCAACCTTACCTTCTCACCAATGCGACTGATGAGCAATTCTAAACGCACTTCTGATCCCGTCCTTTCCGGAACAGATCGCCGTCTCTTATAGGGCCAATCATTACCTAAAATCTTCATCAGGCAAGATGTGGCAGGCATCATATCTTGCCAATTTCAATTATGAAATGGATATTAAAACCAAGTTAGCTAATAATCAAAAACTTTTGGAAATAGTGGACAAATCTTTCCTCATGATAAATTATACCTTCATCATTGGTACGCCTCCTTCGATCGTGATCAATGTGCGGTAAGTGATTCATTTTTAGATGGTATAACAAACGGTACCGAAGAACCAGCAAGATATTCTTTATCCCTTACAAAACTAACTACCAATTCGAAAAGATTCAAGGAGGACAGAATGAACAATTCGCGCGAACGAAAACGCTTTTATTGGGTGCTGTTCTTAATTTAAACTTCAATTTTAACTTCAAGTGAGAGATATACTACGACACAATATTCGCAGACGAAAACTCGGGCTTCAAAAGGAAGAAAATTGCCACAGATCCGAGTTCCACGGTCAATAAACTTGAAAAAAACAACCTACAAGAAAAGATAATGACTTGTCTCATATCAGTCATCGGAAAAGTACAACCCTGCACAGTACTTATTACCATGATAGTGTTTACCTCGTGCCAAAAAAGTAAATAAAGTAGGAAAATCATTTTATTCATCACAAAGACATTGCCTGACCCGTGATAGTTTAAAATGTATAGAGTTTGCAATAACTGCAACACAGTTTTTGAATTAAGCAAAATATGAAGAGAAAACAACGTGACAAAAACATGACATCATCGAAACAAAATTTTATGTTAAAAAGATAAATAAAATTGGATGGAGTTCTCTTGCATCAGAACCGGTATTAATCAGGTGGGGCAAATGAAATGTACTAGTGGAAAGAATTCACGATGCAAAAAGTAACCGCATGAAAAATTTTTTTTGAAACTAAAAAATAATTCAGAAAAGCAAATTAAAAAAAAAGCACAGATATTTTCCCATTAGATAAAATAAAATACTGTTGTGATAAGTAACAAAAGCTTTTACACTGTTATGTAACGATTAAAGAGCCATAAAAACAATTCGTCAATATAAATGTATTGAAACACCGAGAAACTTCCTCAGAAAGCAACATTGCGATATTAAAGTTCCGTGAAATCTTTCACCCCAAGCTTTCGTAATTTTTCGTATGCCTAAAATGATAAAATAACACATTTTGGAGTTTTTATTGTCGATAAAAAAAGCGAAAATTCCTCATAGTAAAAATATCTACCTTATCATGAGTATCACCATCATCCATGGTAATAACTGGCATTTTGAATGCAGCCTTGTAAAGTTCAAAAGCCTCTTCTTTTTGACCAAGTCTGGTTTTTACCTCTGCCAAGTACCACAAATTCGAAGAATCGAAATTCGGCTGAAACAATCCTTAAAACATGCGCTATAATCAAAACTATCATATCGGAAGATCATTATCACAGTAAATGTATTTCAGAAGTTTACATTTACAGTAAGCATAGTTCCAGTTTTACCTTGATAAACTCAGCTTTTTGAAAGCATCTCAAAGCATCTTCATATGTCGCTGATGGAACTGATCCGAACAGTGTCTTAACTATTGCGGCCTTCCATGATGGTAAATCCGCATATGTAAAATACCATACCCCTAAAATAATAAGGTTCTAACAACTCACAAAATGAACAAAAATAATTCGTAATCAAGAAGAAATCTTCCAATAATAAGATATAGCTTACTTTCACAAAAGATATAGCTTATTTTTAACATATGTGCTAAATAAATGCGAACCAAGTACATGCCATGTAGTTGCATCAGTAGAATTTAGATCAAGCGCTTTCTCGAGGTGCTTCCGAATTTCCAAGGATTGCCGAACCTGCTCTCTGGTGCCTTCATGCTGTGATACGTAACTTAGTACAATAGCATACCTAAACAAAGCCAACCGAGAGAGGTATACTGTGGAAAATCTTTCATTTTTATAACCCCTCCGTCGATGTTTACCAGTTGCTGTGTTCAAGGTACTGAAAAAATGAATAAAGATCTATTATCTCACATTACATCATTCGCATCAAAAAGTAGTCGAGAGAAATAACTCATCAGGAAGGAAAGCAAATACAGTGACTTTCTTTAATCAAATCTTGTCTGATTGAAATCCTTCGACCATCCCTATCTTCTTCATATATTTCATCCAGTGCTTATCTTCTACCAAAATTCAAATGCAATAAATTTAGCACTATTCAGAGTGCTGACCAAAAAGTTGAAAAAAACTGTGCTTTTCAAATCAGAAACAACTGGAAGCGTATTGTCGACATACAACTACTATATAGTTAGCAGAACTTGAGTTCTTCTGCTTATAGTCAATTCACCTTTTTATGATTTGCGCAACTTGAAAAGAATTATGAACATACTACTGTTTGCCCCAAACAGTAATGCCAACAACTCACCATTTATGAGCCTCCCAACAAGATTCTTCACCTTCATTATCGAGTGCCTTTTCAGCCATTTTCAAAGCATCATACATGAACCGCCTCCTATCGTCTTTATCCTGAAATATTTTGGAAATGGAAAATTAGTGTCATTTGTTACCACAATAATTATAAGCGACAAAAAGGTGGTTAGTAATCTCCAAACTGCGACCATTCTATGGCACTATCTAAAATGGAAGCATGCTGAAAATCATATTAAGCTAAAATTTGAAAGACAACCTTCGACATTTTGGCCTTTTCACACAATACGCGAGCCAGTCGCCAGAGCATTTGTGGATCAGTGCCCGATGAAAATCTAAAAAAAAAAAGTGATTATGCCAGACTGTCTAAGTTTCAGATCTTACTTCAGGAAAAAGTGTCATAAACTATGTCTTTAATGACAGAACCTCCTTAAAACGTTGTATGCATTTTCGATCAAATAAACGCTGTATAATGTATCTGCTTCTTGTTTAAAACGTTCCAGTCTGGTTGTTTCCTCGGAGACATCGTTTCCTTCTGACTTTTTACCCAGAAAAGGTGCCAGTGCGAGACCTGTAAGGAATAGAGTATGAATAAATGGAAGGTGACAATCTGAGTTGAAAGATTGGCTTTTCGGGGAAATATTGTATAACTGATGAACAGTGAACTAGTAAACTATCTATTAAACATGCCAAAACAGAATGTCTTGTCTAGCGACGAATGACTGATCGAATCACCTGCTGTGCCGGTGGCCATAGCTCCTAACAGAACTCGTTGTGCTCTTTTGTATGCATCGAATCTTTGTTTCATGGCACCTCGCACATACTGAAACAAGTAAAAATGTTCTATCACTAAACTAACAAAGTATCGTTCTCACAAATTTCAGAATCAAAAAATGCAAACCAACCCTGACCGCCTGTATTCTACTACCACCCAACGATACAAGTCGTGACGATCGTATTAAAGTTCTAATCATCATGCCGCTAAAAGTAATGGTAACGCATTATAATTGCAATTATAAACAACTAAAGAAGGCTTTGTCGAATCAAATCAGATCAAGTCGTTCCATCTCCACTATGATTATATATCTTGGCCCACTTGATCTGGGATTTCCAGATAACAGAAATTGCGGGAAATCCAGTGCGACACGCACACACCCCACACACGACACCCTTTTAATTCGCAGTTAAAATTGCGAATATAACACGGCCTGCGCATTGTCTCACAGGAATGCTTGGGCCCAGCTTTACTCGTCAGATTCAGGCGAGTTATCACGCAGGATTTGTGACATGTTATATGGGATGCGAAGTGCTTATCACGAATTTTTCAAGCCTATTACTTCATTGTCGTTTGGAGCAGTAAACTATAACGTAGGGCACGCACTATAGCATACGTTTTATGGGACTCAACGTGTCATGTATTATAACAAGTAATAGATAACATGACATGCATGAGTTCAACAGTCAAGAAAAATGCATAAGGAAAATAAGGTGTGCTTCCTGTGGAGAAGTTCCTGTCTTCTGAAATTTTCCTCTGTGCTCGAAAACATCCTACGAATAATTTGTCACGGAAACAAATACTATTTACAGTTTCAGTAATTTGGAAAATTTGTGTATAAAATGCATACAACGTCGCATATATAAGACACAATCCGAATATCTCAGTCTAAGTTAACAAGTCTCTTGTGTAGGTCTTGTTTTAATTGTAAACCTTAAAGCATGTACTTGCGCTAAAATATATCAGAGATGTGATTTAAAGTTTAATTCATGACGGCTTTGTAGCAATACAATCACAAAAAAAAAGCAATGTAATGAGCATAAAATGATGCACAAGTAACTGTTAAGGAAGCGCAAATGTAGTACTCCTGGTATTCGTATCGAGGGCTAATTATCACCGCAGTGGCAAGTTTATCCTATGTAATCTATTTATGAAAATTGCCGAGCTCTTTTCCAACAGTGGTAAGTCTTAGCTTTTCAGTTAAGTTTCCTGGTCTTATCTACTGATATGCTTTAGTTGCTAAGCCGCATCAGTTCCAGATTACAGTAAAACAGGAATATTCTTTGTATTCGCGATGAAAAGTAGACACTCTCTAGAAAAGTCAATGTATAAGTGATATAACGACTTTACATTAAAAAGTTGATTCTGGTCGGGAAATCCTTTTCTTTTTCGATGGTCACTGCTAAATCAAACACTGGATACTTTGCACGACAAATGATGACTGTAAACATTGGGCATTTTAATATTACACTGCATTGTAATGTGCATCGGAAGAGGCGTGCAAATGCGCCATAACACGCCATAACATAGGAGGAAGCTTTGTTTCTTTTCATTCTAATAATAAAATGTTCTCAGTTACTGAGTAAAATAGCTAATTCTGAACAAATATAACCATACAGGCAGCTTTACAGTTTAAAAAACGTACATTGTTGCACGAAATCAGAACACAAAGATATATAAAAATAACAAGATCAGTACAATATTCACAGCTATCAAGATGAAAGTAATCCGTACATTACGATATGGCATGAATTGCTGCGACAAATAAGACACTGAAAATAAGTTTACTTTTAATTTTTTTTTCTTTTGAGACACTGAAAATAAATGAAATATGGAAAAATTGAAAGAACATAGAGACGTGTTTTGGAAGTATAAAATCGACTGACCAGTTTGGACTTCCTTCCCTTTCTGTGAAAAGAGAGAGAGAAAAAAAAAAAAAACTCACCATATCGTATAAGTCCAAGATTGCGTAAAGTGAGATCTTCATTGGATCGATCCTTCAAATCCCATGCTACTGAACGTTTTAAAGCTGTAGACCATAGACTGGAAGGACTTTGTTCATTTTCGATTTTGTCACTCACAAATCGTCGTCCATCTTCATGATAAATGACTTGTCGCTTCTACAATCAGGAATTCAGCGGCATTGCTGTTAACTGTTCAATAAAGGGTGAAGTGGTTTGCAATTTGAGATTTTACTTTTAAGCATAAAGGATATATTTCAAAGGCATTATTGAAATTTTATTCATAAAAAGAAGTAAATTATTTATTTGGAGATCACTGCAGAAATGAGATCATTGCATTGAAATTTCACAAAAAAGCATAGAATTAGGAACAATGGGAAATGGGAAGTTCTGACCGCAATTGCTATCAGGTTTTCAACGCTTTTCTTTATCACTGCAAATTTCAAAAAATAATCTGAGTAAGTTTTGTCCAATCGCCTACTTTTCCGAAACCTTTCTCGCAAAACAGCGACTTCGGTTTCGCAATCAGTTTGGCAATGAGAAATTTCCGTCGTAATTCGCACGAAATATCTTTTCTAATACAGTAATCGTATTCAAAGAATTTTTCAGATCGTCAAGATCGAAGCCTTAAAATGATATTGTCATTTTTGCTAAAAGGTAATCCAACAACCCTAAGCCGCCGGTCTTCACTTCGGTAAATGCAGAAAAAATTGTGATATCACATGAGTAAGTGTAATTCTATCATCCTTTTTAATATACATGGAAGGCGAAAGCAAAAGATCTCTTCCCATATTTTCCGCACCAAGTTTGAGTCTCACACTTCCTAGCAACGGTAAACATCAGATAAATGAGGACCGTGTTACTTCTTCGATTAAAAATGCGTCATTTTGATTCACACAGCACGGTACCATAAGGAAAATCTAGAAACTCCTAACTTCGACAATCACAACCACAAGCTATTCCCAAAATATTGATATCTCGAGCCTCGATGTTTCCGTTTTTTCGTTTTCTTACTAAGTATCTATACAGTAAAAGCAGTGCTCACTGCGCTGCATGAAAAACTCTTAATTTCATAAAAAGATTTCAACTTCTCCAAGAGGTGATACATGACGTTTAGCCTTTGTTTATTGGAGATGAAAAAGCAGCAGCACTAACAACGAAACGAAAAATAAATTTAAAGAGTGTGTTGAAATCTTAAGCAATAATTCAGTAAACACAGAAACACCTGAACAATGAAGCAACTAAAATTAAAAAGTCATACAGTCCGGAGCGTATGGAAATAAGTATACAAAATATAATTCGCCTTAAAATTCTATGAAGTCGCTAGGAAATATACTCACAAACTCACATACTGACTCATTCCTTGTACAATAACTTGAGAAAATGATATTGAATTATTGAAAAAAAAGAAAGGCTCACGTTATGACATGAGAATAAAGTTTTCTTTCCCTTGACCTTTTGGAATTCAGCCAATGACACTGGCTCAACTGGACCATTAAAGACATGTAGCATCGTTGCTGCTCACTTTATTAACAAGCACTGCAAAAATTCTCTGTTCAAAGTGGAAATCCAGAATTTGGCAAAAAAAAAGCGCTGCTAATGAGTCAAGTAGATATAGTACTACTTTAAGAGACCACTATATTCTTTTTTTTTCGGGGTAACAGTTCTTGGGGAAACTGGCAAGCAATCCAGTTCAAATCTAAACTTCAAATATGAACCAATCTCAAGTTTATCCAGTGTCTGCAGTCTTCGCCTTTCAATGCAGTAGTTTATGGCCTCATGAACAGCACAGAGAAAGAGATAGAAGAGGAAACGATGATATATGAAAACTTATTTAAAACTAATTTCGGATTACAGAAAATCAAAGGCAAAGAAAAGATGAATTTATAGGGTGCTAAACACTCAAAAACTAAACTGAACAACATGTTTCCTTTTGTAAAGAAATCTTTAACAGTCTCTAAGTGAAGCATACGCAAATAGAAAAAGTTCATAAAGAAAAAAAGAAGAAAGCTTGGAGAAGGACGACTTCCGGCAAATACGTTTGGAGAGAAGTGGTGCGGACTGATCGATAAAAGATGGAAACTGCAGAAACAGTCGTTTTTTCATGTCATTTGAGAAAAATGAATCAGTCTCTCGTTTCACAAAGAACGCAATTCTGTGCTGAGTGCGAAACTCCTTCAAGCTCGCTCTAAACTGGGAAGAAAAGGACAGAAAAACAATTTAACCCATCGCAGAGACAGGAAACATTAACAACGACCAATTTGGGTACGAAGTTCAATTCTCCTTCCTCCTTCGTCATTCTTTTCTCAAAGCAAAATAAAGAAAAATCATTCACTCAATAAATGCAGCCACAACTTTACTGAATCATTATGTATAGATGAGAAAATATTTCTCATTTTTCATTTTCTCATCATGTCAAGATATAGATGTTTTCCTAACTTCATGGTCCCGAAAAAAAAGACAGGTAAAGGAACAAAACAGACAGTAAAAAAGGACATTTTTGGCCATAAATCACCTATTCTTTTATACCATAGCAAGGATTTCATAAGCTATAAACATCAGTCATCAAGAAAAGTAAGAGAAAATGTAAATCAGTGAAAAATGAACTATAGAGAAACCTGCATAACAATAATACGGATCAGCGACTACTGAAAAAGTTTGGAAAAGATAAAAGTAGGGTTGAATAACTTGCACCGGCAGTCAAATGTCTTCTAGCCGAGTCGATTTAAGAATTGCAGGTAATGGTATCGAACCAAATATTCGTGAAAACTGTTCAATTGCATTTTTGGTCGCAGACACATAGAATACATCTGTTTCCAATTGGACTAAAAATAAAACTGGTTGATATACATATGATATCAAGTTAGTCATTTCTGTAAATATCGTTGACCTGCTTAAACAGTTTGATGTCATTCAGTCGCTTAATGTGTCCCTCTTCTCAATGACTCTTTATTTAATTTTACAATTCCATCCAAAACATGATCTTAAGCGTTCTTAATTTGAATTTGAAAGTGTACGAAAAACATCGTACAATTGTAAATTATTTACTGCTCTCTGGGAGACTATACCGCGAATCATCCTACCTGTATGAGCAAAATAAATCTTATAATTAACGAAGCAAAGTGATATTTGACTGCTAAAAACTAAGCCTAATCAATGTAGAAAAAACTGACCATCCATTTTCACAACCTAACAATAACTTGATATTTTTATTTCATAGTGGGCGTCGGGTAAAAAGTAACTGTTCCCACCGCTTCTAATTTAAATAACTTGAAATATGATTTAAAAAGAAAAAACAGATATTCCAACTTCTTAAATAGCACGTGATGAAGTTCAGAATTCACCGTTTTCAAATGCAGATTTTCTTCTAAATGTCCTGGAAGTTAATTTCTGAATACGAATGCAACTACATAGTTCCAAGATTCGAATCATTTCCAGCAACATTCGTGGTTGCAAAACATACGCAAAACGTCTTTTCAATTCATCAATAGGACATCCAGGACGACTAATGATCGAGAACAGGACACCTTCTGCCATCCATCTTAAAATGAAAAGCTCCATCCCACATTGCAAAAATTTATATATTTGGAGACAACTATCCTTCACATTTATATAAAGCTATAAAAACAAATGAGGTTTAAAAATATCTTCTAAAAGACTTTAGACAAACACAATACCTACAAAACAAAACTAAGAAAATGAAGGCAATAAAAACATCTAAAATGAAGGAATATTACGATTCCAAAAAGGAAAAAACCCTAATTTCTAGAAGAAATTCGAAAAAAACTTTTAGAAACCCCTCAAATGTAAATTTCGTTTCAGAATTCAAGAAACACATACCTCACAGCAGGTGCATGAATTTCACCTGATGGCGTAAACCAAGGGGCTGGTACATACACAAGCTTCCCATAGGGAACAAGCCAACAGTCACTATAAGCTGGAAGTACGTACCGTACCGTATCAACACCAACAGTTACCAACTGTGAATCTACTTTCATTTGTTGTACAGCCAAACTTACCATTGAACCACTGCTTTTTAAAATTATCTGAAATTACATAAGCAAGATGGATGTTTCCAAAGGAAACTGCAGTGCGACAAAAACTGGACTAGAATATTGAGCATATACTTCAAAAATTTGGCTAAAAGGTCTCCGAATTTTGGGAAACTCTCGAAATCAAAATTTAATGTTTTTTCTCAAAATCTGACTCGAACTTTTTGGTTTCAAATGCTCACTGCTAACTCTTCAATCGACAATCCGACAAATTTTGATTCATTGATCGCTGTGTGAACTCGACGCAAGAATGAACGTGAAGGAATTGATTGTGACATCAAATAATCATCAAAATTAATGTTCCTTATCATTTCTGACGAGTAAACCTGCTTCAATGAGTTGAAAATATACTGCAAATCAGGAATATCACATGGTGTGCAATCTCCTTCGGGCTTCACTGTTATCCGTTCCAAATGCAAATCCGCTGATTCCAAATAACGCAACTGTTTAGTGGCGTTCACAATCTGCTTAAAATTTTTGCAGTTGTAAGCATAAGTTGAAACTTAAAGAATGTTAGCATCACACAAATTTGCAAACAGAAAGTATAATGGTAATATGCAGTACAAGCTAAAACAATACAAAATGATTACCTTCTGATTTACTGCATAAATTGAATGCTTACCCGTCAAAATTATAAAAGAGATCAGTAATAATGATAACTAGAACAAAACAATAATGTATCGGAAGGAAGAGGGACGTGATGAAGTTTGACTTATTCTCATTATGTATCTCAACGACTGAACCTGTAAGTATAAAATTGTAACCCACTTCTTGAGAAGACGCATCAAAACACTCTAGTACATTATCATCCATCGTTATTTTGAGCACTGGCTAAAAAAATTTAATGGAGAAAAAAAGTAAGATTCCAATAACTTTTGACGCAAATAGTTCAAATACATTGGAAGATTCAGAATGCAAAATTTTCAATAAAACATAGAGGTCCATTAATAAATTCTGGAGTGGCTAAGGAACAATTACTTCTAAAGATTCTGATATGTTAGCCCCATGGAATTTAAGATTATTGAAAAGTAATTATTCAGT